GAAAATAAATGTTTGGATAAAAACTACTCCATTCGTCGACTGATGTCTTCAAGCTGCAACAATAAGAGTACGAACGGTTCTTGCATGAGGCCCATTAAATCTATAATAATTATTGTCTAAATTAGATGTGATTTCTTTTGCATATTAAATAGTTATTTGAGCTTTTTGAAGGTCATTATAAAGTTTTATTTGGAGAATGTTTTCAATAATTTTATGTCTAGTTTAGCTGTTGTTTGTTTAATTTAAATCTTCTAACATGAATCTGAGTTAGACCTGGGGGACAATGCACYATTTGAACACTACCATGTTATGCACCAACGTCTTTGTTTTTTCTAGATATTTTGATCCCAGTGCTGGCAAGTTCAGCAAGACAGCCAACGGTCCTGATGGACAGAAGTTACCTCGAACCTTTTGCCAGCTTGTCTTGGATCCCATTTTTAAGGTGAAAACAGCTTTCCAGCTCTTTCTAAACTCCTATTGTCGTCTGTTGATGCCTCAATGTAAAACAGTACAAATAAGATGTGGTGCCAGATACAACAACAAAAATGATCTTTCTGAAAAAGCTGTTTTTGAGTCGAGTTTATGTTTGTCTTTCAGGTATTTGATGCCATCATGAACTTCAAAAAGGAAGAAACAGCCAAACTCATCGAAAAGCTGGAYGTCAAGCTGGACTCCGAGGACAAGGAGAAAGAAGGAAAGCCCCTGCTGAAGGCTGTGATGCGCCGCTGGCTCCCTGCCGGAGAAGCTTTGCTCCAGATGATCACCATCCACCTGCCCTCGCCCGTCACCGCGCAGAAGTACCGCTGCGAGCTTCTCTACGAGGGGCCGGGAGACGACGAAGCCGCCATGGGTCAGTAGAACACCCTCGCTCACACAACTCAGAGTTAAATTATCATCATTAAACAAGGGATTATTTCAGCATTAAAAGAATAACGTCTGAAATGTTTTTTTCTTCAGGTATTAAGAACTGTGATCCCAAGGCTCCTTTAATGATGTACATTTCCAAGATGGTTCCGACGAGCGACAAGGGACGTTTCTACGCCTTTGGCCGCGTGTTTTCTGGCTGCGTGTCCACAGGCCTGAAGGTGCGCATCATGGGGCCAAACTTCACTCCTGGCAAGAAGGAGGACCTTTACATCAAACCTATCCAGAGGTGAGTCTGTTTGCTCTCAGACTTCTGGTTCTTCTCCTTTCCCTTAATTTCTTTTACGCATTTTTAGGGAACTTTTCATCTCTGTCTCCGCAGGACCATTCTGATGATGGGTCGGTATGTGGAGCCCATTGAAGACGTCCCATGTGGCAACATAGTTGGTCTAGTTGGAGTTGATCAGTTCCTGGTCAAGACGGGGACAATTACCACCTTTGAACAGGTTCGTTATCTTCTCTATAGAGGCAAAAAAGTGTTTAGGTTTACAAAATTAGCCATTATTATCTTTCCCAGGGTTCCCACGAGTCCTTGAAATCCTTGAAAGTTTGTGAATTTGAAAAAATTATTTCAAGGCCCAGGAAAGTTAGTGAAAACAGCCAAAAATTACA